TGTATGTATTGAAGAGAATATGCAACCCTGTATGAGACCTTGTGTCATGCGGAGTGCAAATAGTAATTTCCAATCACCAATACGAACGCTGAGTGGTATGAGTAGAGTCAGTACTGCGCTGAGGGATATACTGCCAAACAGCATCACTTTTCCGCCAAATCGGTGCGCCAACTGACTACCCGGTATTTGGGTAACAAAGTAGCCCCAAAAGAAGGCGCTGAGCAAATAGGATTTCGTCTTCTCCGACCACTGGTATTCCTACGGGATAGACAGGAAATTTGAAGGCAATAATGGGCGAATTTAAGAAATTTTTATATCATGTAGGTATGTAAGCGGTTGCTTTACATTATCATTCATACATACCTCAAAGTCCGGATTTGTTGAATTCTTATCCATCATGGCCACAATTGCCACCGAAAGGTTGACGCGTTGCATCAGCGTCACTGATAAGCCAAAAAATATTAGTAAGCATTGCAAGTGCCGTGTGCCAAAGATCGGACCTGAGATTTAAAAGAAGGTCTGATTAGCGATACAATTCAAGATTATTTCTTCTTCTTTTCTATTACCACAAGCTGTTGTGTTTCACTGTGATAATTGTGAATAACTAGGGTTTTGCCATAAAGACGGGTCGATATGAAAATGGAATAAAACAAGTTGTCTGGAAGTTACAAACGAAATTCTGACATCGATCGCCGACTTCAGAGAACGAATAAGAAAAAGTTTCACGTTGCGATCAATTGATTCGACCTCTGCGAGATATAACCATTGAGTCAAGGTGTTCAAGCAGAATGTTTATTTTTTAGTCCGCTGTGTCGTGACGTCGTTCAAGTGAAACCATTTGGCCACTTTAGTCCAAAAGAACTCGTCTATCATCTTTCTTTGTGATTGTCTCACCAACGTCGTTATTGAAAAATAACAGCTAAATGACAACATCAGCTAAAATCCTTGATGGGGATAGTAACTTTTTGCACTTGTTTCTATACTGTAACTTGTCGGTGGCTGTATAGTCAATAATAAATTAGACAGACGCCGCCAAAATAAAATGACCACCACTGGCTGCACACAACGAACCGTCCCAACTGAAAAACAAACCTACGCCACAACGCCACAAAATATGAACATATTTGTCTCTCCACAACTTTTCTCGTTTATTTGAATAACTTTTTTTATGTCTTTGTGCTTCTTTAATGCGTTTAGAAAATCTGCTACAAACCTTTGTATTGCTCATATTTTAAATTATCCCCCATGACTTGTCTTAATCAAAATCGACGACCTTTTGCCACCTTTACAAAAACGAACTAAAATAATAATCAGACATTTTTTTTTAATTTAGGTAAGAATGCAAATCTGTGTAAGCGTATTAAAAGATAAATGATAAAATGGCATGTAGAGTGGTTCAAAAATTCCGTCTTATCTGATTTCTCGGGGGTGAAATTCCGCCTCTTTTCTGCAGTCAATTGGCAGTGGCTTATCTATTATCTTATTTATAATTTGCAAGACATTATCAACAGCCAGATGAATGTAACGACATACCATTCATGTGAAATATCTACCGAAAATTTGTCTTCTTCTGTTTATTTGGTACTCTAACCGCCTAATAAGTCTTTCACACAATTATGCAGAGAACACTTAAATTCCAGTCGTCCTTATCAACTCTTCAGCTTCAAAAGCATTGTTGATTTTATGGTGCAAAATTGTTATACATACCTTGCCATCGTCCGGCACTAGGATTTCGATACCGTTCTCATAGACTGGGGACTTGAGTGCTTTTTCATTTTGGTCGCAAACGTCTGATGGTTATAACTATTCAATATGAGTAGCCGATCGGAATATGTCTACTTTGGAAATACCTATTTCTTATTCCACTATGCGACGGTCAAAATCGGGATGGGATGAAACCAACGAGAAATGTTATATCGGTCAAAAAACAAGTTATACGTGGCCCGGCGTTTCGCTGGGTCACGTCTAGGAATCGAGATATATCGATTTGAAGTTAGTAACTATATATAGGGGAAATATTCTTGTCAAAATGAGATACCTGCACTTAATTATGAATAAATGCGAAACGCGTCCATCGATTTTCATGATCTATGATCTCATTTTGCTTAAAGGTTATATGACTTTGCGTGAAAGTAATACGACTTGCCCTTTTTTTCCGTTTTGGATTTTTAATGAATTTAAAAAATAAAAAAATTTAATATTTTAGGCAAAAAATATTTTTTTTCTTCATACATTTATTTTTACCGGCAAAACTGTTGATTATATAGAAAAATGTTATATGAACAGATTAAAGGAATTTTAATTTTTAATTTTTTTTAATTTATTTGAGCAAAATCGGACTAGTGGTTCTCGAGTTATGTCAAAAAAAAGACCACCAAAGGTGACAATTTCCCCTATATGATAGTTACTAACATAACTTCTTTTTAACCGATATAACTTTCCCCGGTAGTTTGAACCCTTCCCGATCACTGACCCCTACCATTTGTCTCACAGTGTTCTTATTCCTTTAAGGATTTGATAACTTCTAAACGAGCTTTCAAATAAACTGAATTTAAAAAGCATTAACCATTACTTAAAGAAAATGTCAAAAGGCTTATTTTTTAAGCGGATTAAGTATCTTGAAGACTGCTGCAAGTCTTCTTAAAATGCAAGTGGTGGTAGTATTTTTTGAATCACATTTGTTCAAAAGTATGGAACTTTTTTCACATCTAAGTACATATCGAGCCCTAACCGCCAAAATAACGTAAGCGACATTTTTTTCAAAATTTTCTTTTTGATGCAGAAATATTCCTAGAGCATCTGGATGCATTTCTGCATCAAAAAGAAAATTTTGAAAAAAATGTCGCTTACGTTATTTTGGCGGTTAGGGCTCGATATATATACAGAATCATCACCACACGCCAGAAAGTGCTTTGTGAACTGTAAATAGTTATTTATTCTACATTTTTGTGATAAAGGTATTTATATGAAATCTTCTATTATTTATGACGTAAAAAAATTATTTTTGTAACCTATCCTAGGTACATATGCACAGCATCGGTCATATTAATAGCAACCCCATTTCAAAGTGATATGGTTTGTTACTCACGTTTATTTATTTATTTTTAAGAATTTAAAATTAATATGTTTCACATTATTACATTAAAATTGAATAAGCTATAAAACTTATAGAAAATTAGAGAAAACAAAAAACCGTTTTTTTTTTTTAAATCTATTATAGAGGGCTGCATGAATGCATTCAAAACGGCTTATGAATTATTCATATACAAAACGAATGAATGATTTTGGCTTAAAAATTTTTTGCATTTGAGTGATTAGCTGTTCTGATATTTGTGTCGACATTACAATATTCAAACAAAGTGAAAATAAATTAAATTGAAATAAATGACAATTTTTTGTATGAATATCCAAAAATATTTTTTCTATGCACATATGTACAAACATACAAACAAACTTGTTTGTAGAAAAAAACTTTTATCGAAATGAGTTTGAATGATTTGAATGTTTTCTATTCATTCATCCACATTCATCCATTTGAAGGTAGAAAAGATAAAACAAAATGTATATTCAAAACTTACAAAATTCCAAACGCTGAGTGTTTTGTATGTGAAGTAAAATATTCAAATCTAGAGTACTCTGTTTGGCAAGAAGTTTGAATGAATTCATGCAGCCCTCTAATCTATTAGTATTAGTATTATTTATTTAGAATTAAAAATTAATTTTAAGACTAAAGGGGAAGGGGCTGAGTACTAGCTGCTATGGCTATCGGCTCTAGTATTAGTAATAGTAGTAAAGAGTTAGGCGACTTACGGAAGGTTTAATGATCACGGCGAACACCTGTGGCATAACTACAGTGGCGACCTAGTCACCTACGTCCAGAATGTACCGAAATTATCGAAGAAGTAAATTTCCACCCTACTGAATGGTTCACCTAGAAAAAGCCAGCTTAATATACATACATACATATATCTTTCAACACATGACTTGGCTATAGTTACATTATTTGATCATAGTTACCGAATCATGTGTTGAGAAAAATATTCTTAGCTGACCTTTTTTCGGGGTGTATCAGCACGGAAATTTATGAAGAAGACGAATCTGAGCCCCCAGTCGATGACGACGGAGTCGATGTTCCACCGCCTGACTGTGACGAGATATGAATAGCAAGAGCTGATAAGGTGCATGCATTCACTCTAACCCTAGTAGCTCAATCTGTTTGAATGTTGCGTAAAGCCCAAACATACGTCTTGGAGACGGAGGTGACCTAAAAGACAACCTTTGAGCTAAAACATACTTAGTTCTGTGCAGTTTTTTTTTAGAATATTGAAGTTTTGTTAATAAAAACTACAACCATATTTATTTAAAACTACAAAGTATGAAGGCATTTTTGTGTTGAAATTAAAAAAATCCCTATTCCGTATATGTCCGCAGACATAGCTTAAGCTTTTATGGCTAATGCAGAATATGGTCAGATGAACGCATGCCCAACGACTGGAATTTAAGTGTGCTTTGCCTAATCCACAAGAAAGGCGATCCCGTAACTCGCGCCAACTACCGCGGGATCAGTCTTCCAAGCATAGGTTACACTGTCTTATCGAGCGTATTGTGTGAAAGACTGAAGCCCACCGTCAACAAACTGATTGGGCCTTATCAGGTATTCACTATGCGCCAAATCTTGAAAAAGACCCGCGAGAAAAGTATTGCCACTCACCACCCATGAACCAAAAATACAAGATCACGCTAGCAAGCCAGTAGCCCGTTATAATCGCATTTAGGAAAAAAGTTGGGCGATTTTGACATTAGCCGTTTGTTTACATTTGTTCGTTGCTTACAATTTGGTGGTGGCTTTTTACTGGAATTTGTTTCATTTTCGCTTGTGACAACGTGTGTACACATAAGGTAAAGAATAATTTAACACAACAACATAATTTATAGATGAATTTGTATAATAAAAATGATTATTCATGCGTTCAACAATTACGTGGTTTTCTTCGTTCTCTTCGATGTTTACTACTTACAACAAAGATGGCGTCGAGATTTCGGCAGCTAGAAAATAATTTTTTTCTTTCTTTCGTTCGCGCGTGATCTTGTGTCTTTCGTTCATGCTCACCACCTATTTGTTGACTTCAAAGCCGCTTTCAGTAGCACAAAAAGGAGTTGTCTTTATGCCGTTATGTCTGAATTTGGTACCCCGCGAAACTAATACGGCTGTGTAAAATTACGTTAAGCAATACCACCAGCTCCGTCAGAATTGGGAATGACCTCTCTGAGCCGTTCGCCACCAAACGGGGTTTCTGACACGGTTGCCACTTGTTCAAAATATAACCAACCAAAATCTGAAAAAAAACCAATTAAAAAAAAACAACCAAATTTGTTTTTCACGTATGTATGTATTTGTTACAAAAAGCAAAATTTATTGCAAACAGGTATCAACTATCGTCGTTCCAACTTTCCTTAAACTACCTATAAGTTTATAACAGTCCTCTTTATTGTTGTGAGTATTAACTTGGAGTAAATGAACGTCCTCAGTTATTGAAATATGTATCGGAGTTTTCGTATATCCGAAAATTACCGTTATACGGGAAGCCGGTGCAATTTTAGTCCGATTTGAGTAATTTTCAATGAGTTGCTTTTCGCTTTGGCATTTTGCTAGGTATATCTTTGTTGCAAAAGAGGTGATCTTTCGATTTTTATTTTTCAATATGTTAGCAACAAATATGCGGTCGCCCGAACGAACGAATAATGGAAGCCGCTTTTCGCTTTAAAGCGATTAATTTTTTATTCAAGTGAAATAAAGTAAGTTCCTCCTAACATATTGCGCGTTGAAATATCTCCATTAGTTTTTTTTTATTTATACGGGGTCGGGTAAGGGTCACGAACGTACGAATTTTCCATAATTTTGTACATTGAAATTGAATTATAAAATTGGTTGGATGTTTTAAGTACCAGAAGATCAGAACGCCGAGCTGGGTCGATTTAACCAAGTACATCTGTCTGTCTGTTTGAACGCAATTTAGTCCCTCATTTTCGAGGTATCCGACTGAAATTCGGTAAGCGAGTGTATTTTTATAATGTATTAATCATTTGTCAGAACTGTTAAAATCGAATCACTATAACTTATAGCTTCCATACAACTGATTGTTCATTTTAGTTCTCGGTCCTGGTTGACCATTCTGTGGAAATGCTAACTTTCATTAAATTTAAGTACTAAAAAGTTATTACTTTTAAGTACTTACTTTTGTTAAAAATATTAGGTTATTTATGAGCTCGCGGTCTCTTGGGCCGGGCCCTCTATTTGGATTTTTGCCTGTCAGAAAAATACTATGAGACCCCAGGGCTTAACACTTTTCTTTTCATATTCCATTTTTAAATCTTCAAGATACGCCTGATATAAACATTGACATATCATTGAAAGTCATCTAAAAGGAGTATAACTGCTTACTTATTGCTTACACGTGTAATCGGTAAGGTAAGAGAATAGCCGAATCGTAGTTACTCGTAGGGCACTACTTCATTCGATACAAAAGGAAGCGCTTACCAAATGTAAGCTATGATTTTGCTAGGTCGTTCCTTGAGTGCTAAACTCACACACATACATATTCTTTATTAATTCACATGGAAGTACATGCATACATACATAGTATGTTTGTATATTACACTTAACTAATTTAGTATTTTAGTCTATTTCCCTTCTTATATTAATCATTTCAAACTTAATATGATCACGGGGATCCCTTTGCGTTTGCGTTTTGGGATAGTTCCATGATTGAATCTCGGTTTGACCGAACAGAAGAAACAACAGATTGCCAATAAAGCAGATGCCACCTACAATATAGAACACCACGCGCCACTGATGTACATCTTTCTGCAATAGATAGCAAAAAAAAAACTGTTTACAACCAAATAAATATCCAACCAAAAACTTCATCTATTTATACATACCGCATCTGTGACTATGAAGCCCACTGTTAGTGGTGACAGCATACTCATAATATTCGCTACAAAGCCACCCACGCCCATCAATATGCCACCAAAATTTGGCGATAGATCAATATGATTGGTGAGGAAACCTAAAGAACCAGCCGCGGTTGCACCAACAGCTATCACCAGCAAGCCGAGCGCCAATTGACTCTGTTCAGCGCGCATGTAGCCGAGTAAAATGAGCGGCGCTACCGGCACCCATAAGCCTATGGTGTTGAACAGTTTTCGGCTAGCGTAGACACTGGTGTAACCACGTTTCATGAGGAAATTGGCCAGAGCACAAAAGACAACTGTTAGGCACATATTGGCGAGATATGGCAGTGCAGACATTAACGCATTGCTCTTGATATTCTGTCCCAGAATGCTATTCATATAGGATGGAATTTGTGTGAGAAGTGTATAAAAACACCACCCATAACTGCTTTGCGCTGCCAGTGTTACCCAAAAAGGCACACTTGTGAGTATCTTACTCCATGGTGTTTTCATAGGGGCTTGCCCATGCGGCGACTTGGCGGAAGTCCCCAAAGTGGACTCGATCATCAATTTTTCTTCCACCGATATCCATTTACAGTCGCTGGGTGAACGAGCGCCTAAAAAGTACCATACCAGAGCCCAAAGCAGGCTGACAACGCCGGAGAAATAGAATATGCCTGGCCAGCCAAGTGGAGATGTAGCTATCCAACCGCTTACCAACAGCATTACAACGGTACCAAACGAGAGGCCAGTGTAGCAAAATGTGCCAAGTGTGCCACGCTCTTCGGGTGGCACCCATTTGGAAAGCAGTGTATGTATTGAAGA